GGTCGCTGAAGCTGCTTTGAATCACCTTATCATCCCCTATCCGTGGCATGCAGATCCCAAGCCTTCTTCTGGTTAGTCGTTTCAACATCCCAAATACAATTGAAGATGGACATCTTGGAAAGCGTCAACCAGAAAAGGTTTGATGTCACCATGTTCATTGTTTTTATAAGTTATGATTATACATCTGCTACATATATATATAATTGATTATAAATTACAATTGTAATATCTCCAGGTTTTGCTGATGATAAACCCAATCTTTGATTATCTGATAGCGACCCAAATCACGACCCCCAGCCATTTGTGTTTCCCCTATGGCTCCACCTTGCAGCGGATCGCGGTGAAAACTCTCCCGGGCACTTGAGCCATGGATTCCATGGATGGTGGGCACGATGGATACGGTTTTTTGTCATGTTGAGAAACCTCAACAGTACGGATTTAACAAGATAATCAACACCATAGGGGGAAAAAATGAACCCATATTCAACACCAAATCCGTACCTGGTTAAAATATTTTTAAATATTAATTGCCTTTCTGGGACTGTAGGGGCATATTTTGTGCAAGCACTGTCCGCCATTTGGCTGTGTGGCTTCGAGAAATCAAAAGATCAGGAAGCCCCAACGCAGGCGATGGGTTTCTTTTGTGGCCTCTTTGTAAGACCTTGAGAACATCAAACCGTTCAACAGGGCCTGAGAAGAGGCAGGCAGTTGAATCTCAGTATGAAATTGGACCATGACAAGCCAGAATAGGATTCAATAGGCACATGTAGGTTTCCATAAATGGAGGTACCCCCCAAATGGATGGTTTATAGTGGAAAAGCCTATATATATATTAAAATGGATGATTTGGGGGTACCCCCATTTCAGGAAACCTCCATGTGGACCAAAAAAACAAAGCAAAAATTCGCCAGTGATGCCCACGGCCAATGGGCACGAAGGCATCCAAGCCAATGACACCTCGATGGGAGATCACATCCCAAACAAAACGTGGCCCGTGTGGCTATGATAAAACGCTATAACGGATTGGAGCAACGTATAGCTGGTTGCTAGTTGGTAGACGTTCCTTTACTTCAAGTAATTCCTGAGGAAAATGGAAATCCCATGGAAATGTGTCACTTAGGAAGTCCTTAAGGTCATTAGTGTAGTTTTTTGTTGGCTTTAAGCAACAATAATGGCGATTTCACCAGCACATGGGTCAAACATGGTGCCACTTGGATGTTTGGACCATTCCACAGATTCCACAGGACGTGAATCGACTTGACTTCGCAGGATGATGAAAGCTTCGCATTCACATGAAACTCCTATACTTGATGGGGAAAACCCATGCTTTCCTGATATGTCCTCTAGATTTTCCATGATTTTCCCTTCAACTCATCCACTGCATGATCGAATTTGGACTTTTGCTGGGAATGTAGAGAGGACAATTGCTTCCAAATGCATCAATGGGCAACGCGCATTTCACCATGGGGTGAAATTCTGGGAACCTGGTTCCAAGTTATTTATAGCACCCCACCATTGAAGGAGGCGCAAAGTCGACAACAAGCCTTGCCCGAACAAGGACTTGAATTGATGAAACACCAACTCAGCATGTCTTTTCCGCCAAAAAAACTGAAGAGAAAGTTCACTCTCATGATCGTGTTGCGAACTTCAAGGAAACAAACCTCTCTACTTTGCAAATTTCATCGTTTTTCCCAAAAGTTAAAAGTGATGATTAAAAAGAAAAATCACCTTCCCCAAAATCAACCCCTAAGGCATACCAGGCAAGTTACGGAATATTACCAGGCCCCCAACCTGAGTGAAGAGGAGAGTCGATGCGTTGCCGTCGTACAATGCCAACGATCTGCGGATCGATGCGCCAGTTGTCATTGCAAATCATTGGGTTTTCACGTGGATTTACCAACATGATTGCCCTCCAGTAAACTACTAACATTGCCATGGAGCAAATCCATGGTACTTTTTGTAAGAAACGATCTAAACATGTGGATTATCTAATTATGTTGGTAGAGGGTATCCAATATCATCAATATCCAATTGCGAACTGTTGTTGTACTATACTAAGTGGGTTAAGAGGGATGGTTTCCAATCTCCCAAGCAAGATCGATCCAAGCCCCATCCGAACGCACGAAAAAACAGCTACCTGTAGTAATCATTCACTGGCTCACTGGCTCCCTACACAGTCAAGGCTCACGAAGGGACCCTAGAAGGTCTTGGAATTCCTCCTCAGAAGCAAGAATCTTCAACGCCATTTGAGCCTTCACATCCTTTGCAATCTGCCTGGTACTAGGAATTCCTCCTCAGAAGCAAGAATCTTCAACACCATTTGAGCCTTCACACCCTTTGCAATCTGCCTGGTACTAGCAACTATAGCAGCAGTAACAGCAACAACACGCAACAACATGCAACAATATGCAGCAGCAGCAACAACAACAACAACAACAACACCACCAGCAGCAGCAGCAGCACAATCACTAGTCCCTTTCCCCTAAGTATGAAGTACCTCCTTAGAAATCCTGCTTTAGTGATCTCTTCATTTGTTTTCGGGGCCCAAAAAAAAACAGGCTGGAAATCGGCGGTTCCCTCCAGGTTTCACCTCGTTGAAAAGAGGGACCACATCTTCACTCTTCAGTTCCTCGTCACTGGACCTTTTCGCAGGAAAGGATGGGACAGGATGGGACATCCCAAGCAACTTCCTACCGAGAGTAGCCATTATGAATGGTTAATCATGGTTAATTGTGGTTAATAATGGTTAATTGGAGGTTCATAGTGAGAAACTCTTCTAATGTTTGTAAAGCAATGTCATATATTAATGTCATAAACATCTAAAGTATGGATTGATGGTTTATGCCACCCCATAATAATGGTACAATGGTAAGTCATTGGGGATTTATTATTATTAATTATTATTGCTTTACTAATTCTACTAATATTATTGCTGGCAATGCAAAGTCAGATTCAAAAACAGAAGAAATCGCTGTCACTGTCACGTACTCATATTGTCTAATCCCGGATGAGTCGAGGTGTGTTTGGAAATGCTCAGGACGTTTGATTGAAGAACCCCAGAAGCCATAAAGCGTTTCCGACATTCCAATGGTTCCACCGTCACTCTGGCTTGGATCAAGGCGCAGATTGCCCCTCAAGTATCATCTGACTATCATCCCAGACAGCTGCGTGTCCATTCTGCCGAATCAAGTATCATCCCAGAAAAGTTCGACCATCAAGAAACATCTCTAGAAACTTCACCCACTTGAAAAGTGAGTGGCCACTCTCTTCTGCGGTCCCACCTCCATTGAAAAGTTTGGCCATGTTGGGAATAGTTGCCCTAACATTCACCGTATCCATCCAGTTTCTTGGGACATCCCTGAGGAGTTGACACTTCGGTGCCTAGCTCCTGGGTGCTGGGGAGATCAAGGGTCAAAAATTTGCTGATTGAACCAATGAAAATGGGCGTGTTCCCCTTAGAAATGATGGTTTTACCAGGTTTTACCAGGTTTAACCAACCAAACTGGCGGTTTTACGCAACAGTGTGATGAGATTGGGGGTCTCAACAAAAAATGGGTTATGTTGGTCCAACACTTTCTGGGATACTCAATGAATGGAGCCACAGACTAGACACGCTTCAACTTCAAGACTTTGAGGGATGCCTGACCACGAATGTCCAGCAGTTGGCACCCATCCTTAGTACAGCCGTTGCCGTTACTGAGTTCTGCTGTGTCTTCCTGGCTCCAACATGAAAATGGAAAGATCATCACAAAATTGATGACAAAAAACAATTCTTGAATGAGCAAACCGGATCAAAAAGGTTGAATGAAAACCAAAATCATTCACTGCAGCCTACAGATGAAACAGTGCGGCTTTGAGATGATAGTTTAAACATGTTTAAACGCGGTAGCAACATGTGAGTTTGGGTCAAAACCCCGTACCCCTGGTTTTCACATCTAAACAGCTGGAATTTACGAATGTTCATCCTCCCCAGTTGTATGGAATAACAGGTTTGACCCATCCCCAAATGGTGAAACAATGCCAGCAACTTCGAAACACAGGTTGTTGAGGCCTGAACCTTTCGGGGCAAGCGAATGCGCGGCATGTTGGCTCGAGACAGAATCTCGTAGGAGTCGCCCTGCCATGCTGACCCTATCTGACCCTAGTCCAGCATCGAAAATTGGAAGCTGCTCACATTGGGACGGCCCAAAATCATCCAAACCAAGCAGGACCATCTTAGTATTGAAACCGATGGGCCGATGGTCGTGGAGATCCCTCCCTTTTAAAATTTTAAGAGTCATTTAAGAGAAAGACTCAAGCGATGATTCCACTGGGATCCAAACACAAAGCACATTGATTTCCATTTGGAGGCAACAACTGCACAGACTTTTGGGGTTCCCAAGTGGCGAGGCATGCATACTAATCCATCGAATCTATATATGGGGAAATCAGATTGTTATCCTCTTGCTCGACTCTGGAGTTCGAGTTTCAAAGTCCTGTGTTCAATTAAACACCATGAATCAAGCAATGACACAACGCCACGGAGTGTCCAAAGGAGAGAACAACCAAAAAAAGCTGTTGGTCATTTTTCTATGCCCAATCATTCCATTTTTGGGGTTGCACATAGTGCGCGTAGTACGCGTAGTGCGCGTAGTGTGTGTGTGTGTGTGGATTAAATCCCTGAATTGCACCGGTTAGACCATGTTAAACTGTCCAAAATAGGCTAGCCCAACGTCCCAATTCCAAGGTTTTCTCATATTTTCATATATTTTCTCATGATGTTCCCCATCTTCATGGCAAACGCTGGCGCTTCCCTTCCCTTGGCTTGAGCACCCAAATCGTTGCCTCCTCGACTTCTTCAGCAGGATTGACCAGAACACCCGCATAGCCTGAGCCATGATGGGTTTGTCATGGCTTTGTGCAGGCTTTATAAATGGTGTCTCCAAATTAGCTATCTAAGTGGGGCAAGTAAACATAAGTAAACTACATACGCTGGAGTGTGTGGTACCTGGTACTTACTCTTTTTGTGCACAGCCATATGGTGAAGGAAACCCATTTGCCACGCAAAAGTGGCTGGGAACCTATCCACGTTGGAGCAACAGCATGGATGACAAGGTCACTCAACCGACTCACCATCAGTCGGTTTTGGTTGTAAACCTTGGCCGTAGTGGGCAGCAACATTGGCCCCCAAGCACTGGCTGCACTGTGCAGATCTTATGTCTACATATGTCAACACTATATAATATATACATTGTAAATGCCTGCTAGAAAGAGGAACTCTGGCATCAAACTTCCCCCAACTCCAACATATCTATACATATCTCACATAGCAAACCTTGAAATTGTCCCATTTCCCACCAATCATTCGTCACTGATGTCGACAAGTCGATCGAATCGCAAAATCCCAAGCATGTCAAGGCAGGAAGTGAAACCGTCAAATATCTCTCTGTGACACCATGGCTATTGAAGTTCAAGTCAAGTTTGAAGCGCTGCTTGGGAAGGTTCTGCGCAGAAACACTGAGTGATATAGATAGAACCACTTACATCTCCATGTCACGCATGAGATGCGCTGGACGGATCGAACTCCAAGATCTCAGCGAAATTGCTGTCACCAATCTGGACAGTCCGGTAACTGCGTCACAAAACCCCTTGAATTCGCTGCTGTTGCAAGTCACAGAAGCATCATACTCGGTGGTGCGGCGCTCAACGTATCTCAACGTACTTCCAGCCGAAACCTGGGCGGCTGATTGAAGCCACTGAACTGGAAAGAATGAGAGTACTCCGAAATAGGCCTCCAAAGGCAACAAGCGGAAGAGATCTCCGCCTGAGTTTACAGGATCCAACATGGCTGGTGTTGCAAGCCCCTCTCAGAGTGCGTCTCGCCGCGTGCGCTCCAAGACAACACTGGGAATCAGTTGTGATCTGAAGCGGCTTGAGGCAGCAGTAAAGTGGCATCGGCTACATGATTTCAGGAAAGCAAGCTTCCAATTTAGACTTGATCTGCTGTTGTCTCAAAATTTCAGAAAAGACTCCGTGTCTCTCTTTCGGTTGAAGATTGGAACACGCCAGCAAGTCTTTAGCTAATTGGCTCTGGGCTGTTTCGTTCTGGACGCGAGTCAACACACCAAAAAACGAGCAGAACAATCCAAAGACAACATCTTGAGATGTTCACAACCCCATCGTTGGCGCTGCTGAGGCAGCTGCACAAGTCTCCAAGCGCCACCACATAGGCCAGCGCGCCACTGGAGAAACGGACCTGATGCTGACCGCAGATGTGTCGGGTTGGCTTTGGGAGACATGTTTATCTCCATTGCTTGCGTCGAGTGGAGTACACCTCGGGATGGATCGAAAGGGATGAACCCCGAAAATTCCAGCTATTTTTAGGGGTTCACGCGAGTACCAGGGTTTTGACATGTTTTGACCCACCACCTAATTTCACTCGTGTTCTCTTTGCATCAATTTGTGAATGGCAAACCAGCCAGCAACACAGTGTCACCTACCGAAGGTAGTCGATTGGTGTCCTTCGATGATTTTGGACGTTGCAGAGTTCACTAGTTTATCTTGCAGCCGGCAGAATGCGCACTTGACTGAGAATAATCTGGTAAATCGATATATAATAAACCCAACAAGAAGCTAGCAATCTGGTATATGTAGTTGTGAATATTCCCCAAATGGTAAAAATGTTAACACGTCCTGGCTAACCAATTGGATTTACCACAATAGGATGTTTCGACACCTTTCTCCACGCAAGGTCCTCTTCGCCAATGGGCTCTGTGATAACGATGACCACATCACCCACCTTTCATAAGGTTCAAGAAGGGGAAGGGTCCCCGATTTATGGCCATTGAGTGATGGGGAAAATGATGATGAGCCAAGGATTTGGGGGCAGAGTGCCCGACTTTTTGACAAACGCATTTCTTGGATGAGCGCTGGCACAAGACTGTGACAGGATTCGTTTGTGATGGCGGGTTGATAGAGAGAGAGAGAGGGGGTAGTCAAAACATCCGTTGCGACGAATCAACTATATAAGTTACTATAAGTTACTAACTAAAGTAAGTGGTGCACAATTCATTGCCTGCAGCTATCCCACCATGCGCAAAACAACTGTCGATAATGTCCTTGGAGGTTTTGCTACTGCTCACATGCATTGATAAGGAAGCATAGGTTGTACAAAGGCTCTTGCCACCCATACCCTTCGGCAAACTGACCTTGAAAGCCTTCGAAGTTGGAAAAAAAATCAGATCATCTTCCAAACAGAAAAATGGAGGTGCAAACAAATGTTCGTTTTGGCTTCCTTGACATCCAATGTTCTAATGGTCAATTAAACACCACATGGGCCCCGAAGAATATCATCGTGCTCCGTCCGTTGATTGCCATAAATGTTGAAGCCCATCCCCTATTTATGAGACGTTTGTCACCGCTGACAAACAGTTGACCCCAAAAAAGGATGGTCTATGTAGCACTAAACATGAACAGCTATTTGCGGGTCCATTGGTCCCTGAATTTTGACCCATACCCAGAAATGTAAGGTAGTCAATTGATCCATCTATCCATCCATCCATCCATCCGTCCATCCATCCATCCATCCATCTATCTAATTCTATATATATATAGTTGGATGAGAGAATATATCTAATTCCATCTTTCTATATTTATCTATCTATCTAATATACACCATAAACCTCAGTTGTGCTAGTTATTGAGCAGCCACAAGCTGAGTTACCTCGGTCTACCTGAGGAGCCAGCTCGACGCGCGACCTTGGCCTTGATGGAGGCCCTGAGCCACCATTTTTTTTCCACGAATCATAGGTAGATGGTAGGGATTTTTATAGGGATTTGTAGATCATAGGGATTTTTATAGGGATAGGGAAAATTTCTAGGGATTATTTTGGGATTGTTTTGGGTTTTTTGGGTGATTTAGAGGGAATTGCATGGATTTATGGGGGATATAATGGTATATAGAACCAACAATTCTCATTTTGGCTGGGTATACCCTCTATGTGGCCATTTCAGTGGGAAAATCATATGGGAAAACTATGGAAAACCAATGGATCTATCGGTACGAGGACCATATAGGGGTACCCTGTTTTCAGACAAACCCATACCTATGGTACAAAAAACTGGAGATCTAGCTGTACCGCTATCATGGGAGTGATCTATGCTGCATTTTTAGCAGGCATGGCATATGTCATTTCACAGTCTGGAACTACTGCACTACAAATGTACCACCCTTGCACCGGGCACCGGACTTCAGAGACTCCAAGGGCCTTTCGTCTTCCTCGGTCTCCTCCTCCTCCTTCTCTTCTTCCACGGAGATCACTGCAGCAGCCTGGCCCATGGTGTGGAGAGCAGCCACCATGGGATGTCAAGATTTCATAGGACCTCATAGGACAACTCCAAAGTGCGATGATATTCGATCGTTTTGCAGGACACTCCAAGTTCCAATTGTTCCATGTTTTTACCGTTGCACCATCTATTTTGGAGGTAAACCATTTTAAGCCGGGCCTCTTTGGAACCACAAAAGCTTCAAACGGGACCCACCATATTCAGAAACAAAACGTAACTGAATAAAAAATGGTAGTTTGGTAGTTGAATGTAGTTGAAGGGGGCCAAATGGAACATAATGCAACATATTTGGCCATGTGAGCCTTGACTTCCAGCATAAATCAACAAGATCAACCCGCTCCCGCCTTGGCCACTCGCGAACGCGCGTTCCGCGCGTTCCGCGCGTTCCGCGCGTTCCGCGCGTTCCGCGCGTTCCGCCCGTGCCGGGCGGCCAAGAGCACGCCACAAGCCGAACAGGCAGCACCTCTATGGGACGTCATGTTTACCAGCCATATCTTTGATGATTGATGGTTTATACCCTCTGGAAATGACTAACATAACTATATGGAAAATGGCCATAGAAATAGATAGAAATATTTGATTTTCCCATGCAAAATGGTGGATCTTTCCATAGTTATGTGGCTGTTTACCAGAGGGTAGCACCCATAAAAATTGTCCATTTGGGGATGGTGGCTCCTATTGCTTTACTATATAACATCCGTGGATACTCATAAAATATTTGTATATATATATGTATATATATATGTATATATATATATTTATATTTATATTTATTTATTTATTTATATTTATTTATTTATACTAGTGGAAATGAATAGTCATTGGAGATCTAACACCAACTTTTTGGTGGAAACGATGTTTGAGTAGAACAGAAATATTATGAAAGTATGGCGTTACTATCGCTTTACTATGGCTTCACTACCCACATAATTCATCGTCTCCTGTGAGTTTTCCTTGTGGGAAGGCTCAAAGGTACCCACTTCGCATTTTCTTCTCCTTGACGAATCTGATACCCTCGAGTCAGGGTATCTGGCAATTCAAATCACAGATCTTCCATCGAGGCTCCGATTTTCTGATAAAAAATCGGGTGCCTGAGAATGGGATGCCCTTTAAAACCTTCATTTATAGAGGATTCAGCTAGCAATACCTAGGTCTTACCGGAGGGTATCCCCATTTTCAGACCCATTTGTAATCTATAAATGTCGATTTTGGCCCCAAAAGCTTTGGAGAATCCTGTGCCTTGCTCCCTCCATCGACCGGCACTGGCGCCAGAGGATGGTCCCTGGGCGTATGCAGCGATAGTTGATGGAATATACTGCTTGTGGTTGTTTTCGTGATTTGAGTGAATAGCACTGCTGGCTGATAGTTCATGTATGTTCATGTTCACTGTTAGATGATTCTCTTGTTTTGGATTGGTGCAAGTTCACGTCCTGTCTAGGATGGTGATATCTTGAAGACTTGAAGTGCAGCCTTTGGCAAGACGCCGGAACGAAGGAAAATTGGTGGCTGTCCAAAGAGTTGAGAAGACTTCAAACAATAATCCAAAGTAAACCGCGTAGTAGAACCCCCTTTAATAGTAAATCATTACTATTATTATCATTATTATCATATTTATGTGTTTTACCATTGTTGTTACTATTATTACTATTATTATTACTATTATGTATTTTTACTATTTTGTCATTATTGTGATTATGATTATCAATTATCATATATACACAATATGTATGGTATATACTTGTATATAGATAAATATTCCTCCCTTTGCTGCCATTTGTAAACCCATGAACCTACCACCCCAAGCTGTTTCCGTGCGGCCTGTCTGACCCCAAAGTGGCACGGCCTGCACAGAACAGGATGGTGTTCAAACGCATCCTCAGTTGGATAGACCCATTATGAACCATGATTAACCAACTATAGTATATCCAACTAATAGGTATATCTTATAGATTCTTATAGTTATGGTTAAATATTCTTAAATATTTCAACTAATGTTCTCTAATGTTCTCTAATGGTATTTAATGGTATCTTAAGTTGGATATTTAATGGTGGATTGACCATTCTTAAGCATTTCAACTATATAATGCTATCTAATCTCAAGCCAACTTCACTAACCTCAGTTCGTTTGTCAAACGTTTGAGCTGGGGGGTGGCCCGCGCTTCTGGGCCTCGAGGAGACATGCGGCCGCAGCGCGGAACGAAGGAGCGGCTGGTCCATGGTTGGTGATGCACGTGGCTACCGGATGGTCATGGCTGCCATTGGCAGATTTCTTCGGATCATCCCATTTCCTATGGATGATTCCATGGATGATTCCATGATCCCAATGTTGGAAACCACCAACCGCTTCAGTGGGTGCTTCAATGGGTGGGTGCACTCGATGTGTTTTTTCGGTGAAGATCGGATCTCAAGAGATCATCGCATGATATCAGCCAAAACTGAGACAGCACGCCATCCTATGAGTTCTTGCCTTTTCTAGATATCCTTAACGGTTAAGGAAAATAAGCGCCTGCACCACCAACAACGGAAGGTCAGGTTCCGAATTTCTCATGCTAAGTTTTTGAAAGCCAATTAAAACTCGCCGAATCAGGGTATGTCTGTGTGGCATTGTGGGTATTTGGAAACTCTTCCACCTGGCATTTGAAGCTCTACCCTTTAAATCCAACACAGAATGCAAACATTGCATTTTACAATAAGATATGTTCTGCCCAAGAAGGATGCACAATAAACGTGGCACCAGTTCTTCTTGCATTCGCGATTCGTTGTGGGTAAAAATCGCCCAACTAAGTCTTTATATGTTTGTAAACACAACCCAATTTGCCCCGAATTCCAAACCCAGCTACCTTGGCTGCACACAATATATCACAATATGTCCATATCTGCATCGCATCTTTTCACTCATTGCCACGGCCCAAACATGAACTGGATCGTGGTTTCCAGGCCATAAAAGCAACAGTAACAGCTGGCAACAGCTGGTCATTGTATGTCATCTTCAAACTCCTGGAGTTACCAACAAGAAAAACACCTGATTTAGCTGGTAACCCCCATCACCAAACCCAGAGGTTAGCTGAAGCACGACTGGTTTCACAGCGTTGCGGACTCCGAGTTGTTGTTGTTTTTTTTTCGATGGTTTATATGCCCATGTCCGATGGAAGCCATCCCCGGTCCCCATCCACAAAGGGTGTCATGGTTGAAAAGTTGACTCCCCATTGGCTGAAACCACCAACCAGTCGACTATCCAATCAATCTTCTGGTGGACCAAGGCTTAGAGAACTGGTGGAAATCACCAGTTCGCCGTCTGTACACGGTCCGTGATTCACCAGGTCTGCGGTGATCAAAATGCCAGCTTGGTTGGCTTCCCGAGATGCGTGTTGCTCATAAAATATATATGGTTGATGATGTGACTTCTGGGAGCAAGCGAGTTCTTTTTAGGGAACATCCTAGCTCCCTACAGGTCTTGAAATTTTGCATGGATTTTATGGAAGCTCAAATGTATGTAGAGAAAGGATTCTTAAAGATGCGGTGAGAGTCAAAACATGAATCTTGGTAGGTACCCTGGGGCAAACTAAGAAAAAAATGTGGAAACCTGTTTTTCCGCGAGGAAAATGATCTACAAATGTTGGGTTTTCCACATCTATGTGAGTTTACAAGTTTACAAGAAGGATCAGGAGGGTATATCTATATCTTGTATAAAAACCAAATACATCCAAATACACTCTTTGTGCGCAGGGCTGGCATCTCCTGCTGCCTGTTGTGGAGGTTCGCAGTGAGTTTTCGGGTTCGTATGTCTGATTATATAGTAAGTCTGTCACTGGGTGATCCTATATGATCAATATATCTATATATATATAATCTATATTATATATATATATATTTCATACCCACATATAACTAACTGGGGATATTCCATTTATATATATATATACATATATGTGGATTAAATCTACATGGTCATTTTTACCACTTCCAACTGGAACTACCCTGCACCATGACATCATGACATTGCCCTTCTTTTTGGGCAGTCTGCCTCATCTGAGACCAAAGCCGTTAAGCTCTCCCCATATGGGGGGGGGGATTCCGATGTAGACCTTGGTAGAATTGAAGTCTTGAAGTCCTCCATGATAAACCATCTAGCTATTGGGGTACCCCCATGACTTAGGAAACCCCCTCAACGTCGCAAGGTCTTCATCGAACTGGGGCCGCGTGGATCGAAGACCCCGACGCAACCGTTGACGCTTTATGCCCTCCGCGCAGCATTGGCAGCAGAGGTTCACCTCGGGGAAGACCCTGGATTTGGAAATTTGGGTGGAGTTGACTGAAGTGATTAAAACTATCTATATGCAAACTATCTTATGTATCTATCTATCTATATATATATATATTGTGAATGGGCTCAACCCTGTATGATCAGGTGTAATCGCCCTTATCCTTGACCTGGTAATTTATGGATGAACGGCAGGCGACGAACTTGTTTTCCCAAGAGGCGGAGCGTTTCTGTTGGCTTGAGCCGACGCAGCAGCGGTCGTTTAAAATGCTGGCTGCGTGACTCGGAACTGCTACTGTATTGTTACCTGCATTACTTTCACACCCCCCATGTCCTGCACTCCCGGCCGTGCCCGACGGGCTCCGGCCGAGGCGCTGGACACAGGAGTAAAACGTTGGATTGAAAAGTTGTAATGTAGCGTTCTACTCTACTGTCAGCTACGCTCGCCTATGTACAAAATTGTTAGCCGCTGATCTATTTCACTCAGGGATTACGTACTCCCGGGCGGCGACGTCCGTTCCGGTTTCCGTGCACCCTTCGAATTAGATCCTAGGTTCATACGCCCTTTGAACTTGTTCCCTTGCATCAGGACAGCTTCGCATCCTGAGCGCATGGGATTCATATGAATTAGCCCGGCACTCAGAATCCTCTCATAAGGTCTCTTCAAGGATGTAGACCAAGAGGAATTTACTTCTTGCGCCGCTTCTTGGTAGCGTCGGACTCCTTGGTGCTCGCTGAAGCACGCTCTTCTGTGGGTAGTGCGTCTCCAATAGCTCGAACGTATTCTTTGGCAATTTCACGTTCGGATGGATCGAGCGATCTCAGATATGTCGTCATTTGCGCGGGGCTCTGTTGTACTGCTTTGAGCTTACCTTGCCAAACTCGTTGGAGTTGTTGAGGTAGTCCCAGGCCGATCTTGTTGAGCGTTACAAGGACGGTAAATGTTCTGGATCTCTCTGTCACCGCACATACCAACTCCACAGGATCGATGTGAATATGATCATCACGTTGAGGTGGTGTGACTCGGAAATAATCATAGGAGCGCACAGCGAAGGCACCGGAAATGATCTTCCTCACGAAGTCAGATGCCTCACGTCGTACTTCCAATTGTCTTTCCTCATCCTCGTCCGTGACGTCGGCAACTTTGGAGAAGACGAGTTGTGGGGTGATGCCAATCTGGACAAGGTACTTCATGATCTTGCAAAGTACACGAATCCCGTTCACTCCCTTCAAGTAGACCTCCAGGTCTCGTCCACCAATCTTCCCGCTCTTGGCGTTGTGGTTGAACGATGCGATCAACTCCTCCTCTGTGGGCTCCTTCAACTCACCCTCTGCAGTCTCTCCCACGTACGGAATATATCCATCATATTCTGGTAGAAGTTTGACTCTCTTCACGTGGTCGTAGTACTGCTGGGCTGGTGCCGTTGAAGTCCAGAGATGGTAGAGCCTGTAGCGGTCTTTGAGGTACGTCAAGATCATGTTGTCGATTGCTCGTGCCGTGCTGTCAATGGCATCTTCGTGTTGAGCAATGTCGATGCACTGAATGATCGAAGCTTGGATTGTTCTTGCCGTCCACAAAGGTAGCTGAACCCTCGCCTCGCGACGTTCTTCGTCTTGTTCTTGCTCTTGAGCGTATCTCTCATCCTCTTCCTCCTGCTGCTCCTTGGTGTATATATATACAGATATAATCATTATATATATATGTGTATATATATATATACATACGTATATAAAGTAAACGATCAAACCCCATATAAATGATGGTTAGTGGGTGATGTAATATTAGCTTGGATGATTTTGTGCTAAACCTATCTAAAATGACCGAAATCGATGGTTCCTAAGGGATTCATTTCAAAGTGTTCACTCATATCTATTTCAACTTCAGTGTGTCCAAGCGACATGTGTTAAGCCTGCCATGCCCCTATTTTTGGAGGTGGGTGTTGCAGAGACTCACAGTCCCAAACATCAGAAATTCACGACCCAAGTGGACACCTGGTTGTGCGAAAATGTCTTAGAAAGCGACTCAACTCAAGTCAATCATGTCAATCAAATCAAAGTCCAACTCCATCAGGAAGAAATGTGACGTTCAAACGCTGTCCAGTGACGAAAGTCACTACTGGAAACTGTCGCATTCGGAGAGATCGGAATCGGAATCCGACAGGTCTACGGACTCATCATCATCCTGGCATTTTATGGCAAGGAAAGTGGCAAGCCTGCCTACTCTTGAGCCTACCGAGCTGTGCAAAATTTGCCAGGCATCAACAAAAAGTGTGCTTAAACTCCTTACAGTAAACATAGTGGAACAATCTTGTTTATGATAGGTTGATCGTGAATGAAACTAGAGGAAACCCGTTGTGCTTGCACCCATCAGAATCAGCTTCAGAAAGATGCTGGATCGCAAAAGAAACCTAGCAGGCGATGTCCTCCTCTTAGATTGTTAAGATGAGACCAGTAGTTATTCTCCAGCAAATTATCATAGCATATCATAGCTATAATTGAAAACGGCCAATTATAGTTGATTTACCTATCAAAACTTGTGACTTCAAATAGTTTTCATAGCTAGTTGACCAGTAATTAGTCAGGGCAAAACCTCCCACCTCCAGCTGCTAGGTCCAAGTTTTGCCATGAAACGTGGTTTTTTCCAGCAATGGTCAGATGCTCCGACTGGGAAAGACGAATCCATCCAACTCTTCGGTATAAATGCCATGGCTTATGTCAATGGCCTCAACTGGCATTGAATGGTAGTTTTGTGGTCTATATCCATACTCTATATGGAGGTTTCCTATAATGGGGGTACCCCCAAATCATCAATTTTAATAGGAGTTTCCATTATACACTATCCATTTTGGGGTACCCATATTAATTAATTAATGGAAACCCCCATATAGAGATCTCTAGAGTGGTTGGCTCACGGCTTAAAACGGTACAAGTGTCAATGGCTCACATGGCGCCCCTTCATCGAAGCCCGGTCTACCCCTTCATCCACCTCATGCTCCAAGATGTAGTTGTCCAGTTCAACCCCCCTTGCCTGGTGCAGCAGTGGTGGAAGGGAATCCCTGGTGCCATGTGGAGGTTTCCAAAAATGAGGGTACCCCTAAATCATTAATCATCCGTTTTAATGGGTTTTTCCACTATAAACCATCCATTTTTGGGTACCCCCATTCTAGGAAACCCCTATGTCTGCAAATACGTGTTGCTTGACAGTTGATGTTGACAGGGCGTCCCAGAATCTAGGCACTGCTCGTATGGCCCTATGGTTGTCATCCCATTTGGGGCCCAAAGTTGACGACCATGCCCAAATCATGTCTGTGAGTGTTGGAAACGCCGGGATTTTCCAGATACCCTCTGGTAATGACTAACATAGCTATGGGAAGATCCACCATTTTCTAGCTGGGAAAATCCACTATTTCGACTGGGCCATTTTCAATAGCTATGTTACAAATTACCAGAGGGTATGACCCTCACTTCACAGATCACCTCACCTGGGTGTTGGCACCAAGGCGCACCAGCTCCCTCACCAGCTCCTGCGCAGTCTGTGCAACATCCAAGAAATCCACTGGGAAATCTGCAGAAATCCACTGGGGCATGCGGCAGCTGTCCGACTGTTTTTTGTCCGATTTTCTTGTTGATTCGGCCAAGTTCATCGCTACGACTCACTCAAAGATATATTAGGGAACTTTCAGGCACACGTAGGGTGCTCATTCATCAAGGTGCACAGGCCAGGCCCGGCCCTTGGTTGCATCTACCACTCAGCACTTCAACGAGTGACGGCGGAAGAAATTTGAGCCGCGGTGGCAAAGGCAACTTCTGGTAACTCGCGAAGGCGTCCAAGCACCTCCGAAAGAGCAGAGACTCGGGCGGGAGTACCTGCCACAAAGGTATGCATACCTCAGCAGCGGCGAAAGCGCCGATGATCCCAATGAGGGCTCAAAAAATGTTCCACCTTCACAACAATTAACAATCCTGACCTTTGTGAAGAGACTTTCAACCCAACAATGATCACTTTCTGTTGACGATCTTGGAAAAGTCTGCTCGTGATGCAAGAAAAAAGACAGCTGCGCTGCGGCTAACATTGCAGGGTTGACATTTCCTCTTGAAGAATCACCCTTTGGGGAATTGGCACCAGCAAAGTACCAAAGGGTGATGTTTTAAAACCAAGCAAGGAGATATCCACGGACCCTAGCTCTGCAAGGTACCCAAACAAACCACTTTCTCCCCGTCTTCTTTGGCCAACTGGGTGATGTGGTCTTCAATGGTTTGAGCATACTGACGTGCATCAAACTGCTTGGTGAGGACCAAGGAGAAGTCATTGGTCTCCATGGAATAGGGCAGGCAAAGGGTCCGCCCCTTCTCCTGGCATCCAGTCAACTCAGAGAACTGAAGGTCATCCCAGCTGGCCCTCAGAAGTCCCCCCAGAGGCAATCACAGCTAGCCTCTGGCAATTTGACGACTAGCGAACTGGAACATCACCATGAAATTCACAGGGAAATCCATTTCTATGTGCCATGTTCCACAGCTATGTTCAACTACCGATCTTCCAGCAGCTTCATCTCCGGCTCCTCATGTGCCAAATGAAATGGCACCTCATCATCCACAAAATCGAGCAAGACCTCAGGGCTTGGTGAAAAATCTGACATGGGGATGGTTTCAAACATCTTGTATGAATCGAAAATGGGTGTAGAATATAGATTATAACATTATATATATATATATTATACTTAATATAAATACGGTACACATAATATCAAACAAAAATGGTGTGTGTGTGTGCGTGTGTCGCCTCGAGCCGCGTTTCCCCATTTCTGCGCCAGAGTAATGTTTGGCGTGCGAGGACAAGCAAACAAGCAAACAATGCAACCTCCAGTTGTATCCCCGCATGGAACATAACAAGGGTCACAGCATGTCTAAAAACTCATCACGCAGCTGTGAAAAAATGTGTTTAGGACATCTCAATGTTTCACCAGCCCTAACCTGGATGCCAGACTGGCAGGCAATCTCCGGTGTACGCTCTGTCACTGAGAAGCCGGGACTGAGCCATGTGCTGGGCCTGGTGCCCAGACTCTCCTGCAGATCGTCCAGCCTGGGGGCCCACTGGACTGGGGAGGTCCGCCTTTCAGGGGGTTCAGGATTTTCGCGATGGTGAAGACAAAAATGCGGAACTTTGTCCCCTTCTCCGTTCTCTTCTTCTTCTTCTCCGTTCTCGTCTTCTTCTCCGTTCTCTTCTTCTTCTTCTCCGTTCTCGTCTTCTTCTCCGGTCTCTTCTTCTTCTTCTCCGTTCTCGTCTTCTTCTCCGTTCTCTTCTTCTTCTTCTTCTTCTTCTTCTTCTTCTCCGTTCTCGTCCCCTTCTCCGTTCTCGTCCCCTTCTCCGTTCTCGTCTTCTTCTCCGTTCTCTTCTTCTTCTTCTCCGTTCTCGTCTTCTTCTCCGTTCTCTTCTTCTTCT